CACTCCCAAACCCTCTCCCAACCCATCATGACCACCTCCACCATCCCCACCATCCGTCCCACCTATTCCCAAGTCACCTCCGGGGCTTTCCCCGCAATGCCACAACTTCCACCCAACTACCTCCTTGAGGACAACAACCAAATCGACCACACCTACTACGACACCACCCCCGATAACCTCACCTTCAACACCCTCGCGTAGATCGTTCACCGCGACGGGGAAATCCCCCGTTCCTTCCGATTTGGCGAAATCATGTCCTTCTCCGGCCTCCCCCACGAGGACGTTTTCCTCTTCCTAACCCAGCTTCAGAACTCTTTTCAGCTCCACCACATGCCCCTTGCCCACTGGCTCCCCATTGCCACCTCCCGCCTCCTCGGCAATGCAGCCAAATGGTGGATGGCTGAAACTAGCAACCGTCGAGCCTCCGGAGGACCACGCTACACTTTCCTCCAATGGGCCACCCTCCTCACTGCCACCTTCCGCCCCCAGAAAACCATTGACGACTACCTTGAACAATTCTGCCACCTCCGCCAGACCGGTCCCACGGACCGCTTCGTCCAATACGTCCGCTCCCTCCGACACCACCTCCCCCACACCGTCATTCCCGACTGTGCGTTCATCTCCCGCACCAAACGAGTATGCCACAAAGACCTTGCAACCGCCCTCGCCCACGAACCCRACATGCCCCTTGCTGACCTCCTCTCTCGCATGCTCCCCCACGATCGACTCCTCCACCCCCACCGCCAGGCCCCCCCCGACACCTCCCGCACCTGCTTTTTTCACCACATCACCCCCGAAGACACCACCTCCATCACTTCCTCAGACGAGTTCACCACATTTGACCCCGACGCATCTTTCGATTCCCTCGACTCTTCATCCCTCACTTCCGAGGAACTCGATGTCGTCCAGTTCATGAGAATGGAGCGCAAAGATCATAGCTCTCGACCACCCTCATCTATCCCACCCTCCCGCCTCAAGAAACTCACCCCCGAGGAGCACACCTACCTCCAAGCAAAAGGGGGTTGCTTCCGTTGTCGCCAATTGGGGCACCAACAAACCAACTGCCCCAACGCCGCACGATTCACCCATCAGTCCGCCTCCACGCGACCCGCAACCTCCGCATCACCGCCCTCGGCAAGTGCGGGCCCCTCCTCATCATGAACACAGTCCTCAGAACACTGACCCGACATCAACATTGCATCTGTCAGCCTACCCATCAGTGACATCCTTTGTCGCACCGATGGCCCATCTGACATCGATGATTCGTTTGCCTTCCCCCTCTCCGGCGACGCCCCCTCCACCGGACGATTCCCAGGCATCGCAAACACCTCTCACTGCCTCATGCTCCTCTACCCTTCCTCCAAATGCATCCACTATCACCTTCTCCGATGTTGTTGAGGAACAAGCTCGACACGATCGGCTTGTCCGCTTAGGCAACGAACAACGCCGCCTCAACACCATCATCTCCACCGCCAACTCATCTC